TAGTTGGCAATGAGAAAGAATGAAATCTGGACATTTGTAGCAACATAGATGGAACTGGAAAGTATTATGCTAAGTGAAATAAGTCAGGCAGAGAAAGACAGATACCATATGTTTTCACTCATTTGTGGATCCTGAGAAACTCAACAGAAGACCAGGGGAAGGGGTAGGGGGAAAAAAAAGCTACAGAGAGGGAGGCAAACCATAAGAGACTCTTAAATACTGAGAACAAACTGAGGGTTGATGGGGGGTGGGAGGGAGGGGAGGGTGGGTGATGGGTATTGAGGAGGGCACCTGTTGGGGTGAGCACTGGGTGTTGTATGGAGACCAATTTGACAATAAATTACATATTAAAAAAAAGGAAGAAAAAATCAAAAAAAATAAAAGAGAGCACAAGTTATAAGAAAGCAAATTGATAACATATTTCACAAACAGTTTCAAGGGTATATGATGGAGTGGGTATATTTACCTCAATTTCTGATGCCCTTTATATCTGTGTAGTATCTTTTTTTTTAATGTTTATTTATTAATTTATTTTGCGAAAGAGAGTGTGGGCGGGGAAGGGGCAGAAAAAGAGGGAGGAGAGCATCCCAAGCAGGCTCTGCATTGTATGCACAGAGCACTACATGGTGCTCGATCTCATGAACCATGAGATCATGACCTGAGCCAAAATCAAGAGTCAGATGCTTAACCAACTGAGCCACCCAGGTGCCCCTGCACAGTATCTTTTTATACAATAAATATCTCAGTTGACTACAACATTGTGAGGCTAAGATACTAAAAAGAATCTCCATTACCATCAATTATGTTCTGTAAAATGCATTTAATAGATTCATTTATGTTCTATTAGCCATATTTATTAAAATAAGAAGATATTCCAGTACATTTCAGTTTTAACAAAAGGAATTCTAATTTAATAGGAAAAAACCCCAGATTACCTCATTTCCTAAACATTCTAGTTTAATCATTGTTTTATTACAAGACATCATTATTTTGGGGAGGAGGATTTTAAAGTTTTCAATTAGTTATTTACTCTGTGGTGATAGGAGAGAAGTATCTTTTCTCCTGTTCTTAGAAAAATCCCTACAATGTGAGATGACCAAGCTGGTCCCATTTGTCAGAGCAGAATAAATACTGGAGAAATGTTTTTTTGACTGACACTTACAGGGTGGGAGTTAGGGAGTTAGAGCTCACACAGATCAGAACCAGTTTGCTATTCCTCTGCACTTAAACCCTTTTTTCTCCCTGACCCTTTCAAATGTGGATGTTCCTGGGAAGAATTTTGAAAGCAAAACCTAAGGATACAGCTAACAGGTTATTTATAGATTAAGACTTGGATTTGAGATTACTTGGCCACAAAAGACAAAAAATGGGCCAAAGGATAGTCTTAGCCAGGATATGGGCATTGGCCTTTTTTTGTTGTTATGCAAAAACTTGGGTTTTATAGGTTTTAATCCTTTTCATTTATGATAGGTATTTTTACATATAGAAATGTTATTATTAACTTATAAATAAATAAATAAAATGAGAGTTGAAAATTTCATCCCTCAGAAATTAAGGACCAGTAAAAAACATAGCCAGAGAATGCGTTTCAAAATTACCACAGGTTGTGGCACCTGGGTGGCTCAGTCGGTTAAGTGTCCGACTTTGGCTCAGGTCACAGCTTGTGGGTTCGAGCGCCTCATCGGGCTCTGTGCTGACAGCTCAGAGCCTGGAGCTGGCTTTGGATACTGGAGCCTGTTTGGGATTCTGTGTCTTCCTCTCTCTCTGTCCCTCCCCTGCTTGTGCTCTGTCTCTCTCCCTCTCTCTCTCTCAAAAATAAACATTTAAAAAAAATTAACACATGTCCAGAAAGTTCCTTTAGCCTTCATATTACACATTTCAATTGTATGAGCTAAATTTTTCTAAAATGGAGTTTTTCTAAATCTGGGGCAGCTGAATTTTAGAAAGATTTGTTGTATTACTTAGTTCCTTCTCAGGGGATATATTTTTAGAATTGCCCCCAAAGTTCTGTTCAAGCAGTGAAGTACCGATTATTTTCTTTTGAAAGCAGATTTTTTATTATTATATGAGACGGTGATGAAGCTATATTTAGGATTAATCACCCTTTTTTCACTTTTATTTTTTAATGTTATTGTTAAGTACTGACTGAGTAGCTATATTGGGATTCTCACTGTGAATATTTATTCTCTGTATATTTTTTTAGTTTCTTTTCCTGTGATTATTCTTAAACGTTCCTCCCATAAACTTTGAGCATCAGGCCTCTTTGCTTGACCTGTTTCTCTGAGTGTTCTCATGTACTTTCTTGCCCTCATTGGCCACTTACATGCATTCTGTCTTCTCTCAGTTCTGGATGCTTGTCAAACATTTTCACCTGCCCTATACCCCAGGAAACTCAGATTCAGAATATGTAAAACAGAACTTTTTTCCAACTCAGCACTCCCAAAACAAACAATATTCTTTCCATATTCCCAAATTACCACTCTGTTATCTTAAGTTTCCTATCACTCCCACATTAATTTGGTCACTAAATGATAAGTCAACTTCTTATGTCTCTAAAATCCAACCCTTATTCACTACCATTTTTTGTTACCCTGCTTTAGGCCTTTATCATTGTTTAGCTGGACTATTAAATATCCTTCTAATGATACTTCTTGGCTACAATTATTTCCTCCTAGTACCATCTCTGTGCTGTAGCCAGTTATTTTTCTAAAATGCTGATATTTATTGTTTCATATCCTTGCATAAAAATCTTATGCAAGGTGCTCCTCATAGCCTACAGTATAAAGTCTAAACTATTATGGCATATAAGACCAAAGTTCTTTAAAAACCCTCTCAGTGTTCATTACTATTCCCTTCTTCCCTTGGGTCATAGCCCAGACTATGCCACCATGACCATGGCAAGTGGTTACATGGCTGTCCCCTTTACTCATTCTGTCCCCTTGCCCAGAATGTTCTCCCTCCTTTGTTAAAATTTCTGCTCATCTGTTAGGGTATAGCGTCAGTGTTAACACCTATCGACATCTTTTCCCACACTTTCCGAGACTTTACATTGATTTGTAATTATTTACTTTCTCTTCTAAGTTTTTGAAAATAGCAGTTATATGTATTTATCTTTGTTCCTATGACCCTTTTTTAGTACTCAGGATATAGTAATCACTCAATGAATGTAAACTGCATTTACTCAGATAATAGGCTATTAACATTAAGGTAAATTGAATTTTTGGTTGGTTCAATAATAAAAATTATTTCAGTATGAGACACTTTTTCTAAAGTTGATTAAAATATCTTTATGCCCTAGCATTGTGGAATGAAAATGTTCTTAGTATTTGAGAACTTGGAACACCCTGTGGTTTTCATTAAAATATATACTGTCATCTTGACATAGATAGTATATAGGGTACCGAAGACAAATGAGCTGCATCAGGATAACTTCTGAGTGCTCTTTTAAAAATCTGCTGTTCAGGGCACCTAGATGGCCCAGTTGGTTAAGCATCTGACTTTGGCTCAGGTCACAATCTTGCAGTTTGTGGGTTCGAGCCCCATGTCTGGCTCTGTGCTGACAGCTCAGAGCCTGGAGCCTGCTTCAGATTCCGTGTCTCCCTTGTTGTCTGCCTTTCCTCTCCCCCTTTGCTCACGCTCTGTCTCTCTCTCAAAATTAAATAAACATTAAAATTTTTCAAATAAATGAATAAATAAGAATTTTTTTTTTTTAAATCTGCTTTTCAGGTCTCATCCAAACCTAATGAATCTGAACCTTTGGTTTGGGGACCCAAGAATATGTTTCTAACTAAAATCTCTAGGTGATTCTGATGTGCAAGTAAATCTGGGAACTATTAAGGAGCCTGAGACATACTGACAAAGGATATAACCAAGATGATTTTTTTCCTCCCTTTTTCTAGTAAAAATTTTGGTTAATTAGAAGTAAGTTATTTGCAGTTTTTCTGCTGTGTGGGTGTGGTTTAATGTATCCTGTACAATCTCATTAATCTCCTTCAGCGAAGCATCCTGTTAAAAGTGGCTGAAACCATCAAAAGTTGGATTTTTTCTCAGTACAATAAGAAAGATGACTTACTTCACAAGTTGGTAAGTGTTTGCTCTATTTCTTTTAGTCAGTTTTCAGGACTCCAGTTTATTAATGACAATACAATGAATCAGAATTTGTTTTGCTACTGATTTGGGCAGTGATTGATTCTAAATTCTGAGAAGTTCTCTGAAAGGAGACTGCCTGCTTCATAAAGTGTTTAAATAAAGTGTGTTTGTATCACCTAAAAAAAAAAAAAAAGAAATTCTTCAATAACTG